CGACCCGCCACGCTCGGCTCGGGAAATAATTCATGCGCGCGGCCGTAAACTGAATTATTCAGGCGGAACGTCGTAAAGCCGCGCGTTAAGCGGCGAGCGCCGCGCGTCCGGACGGCTCGAATTATCGCGACGGCCGCAATTACACGCCCGTGGGTTTATCCGGGAATGCTTACGGTCACCGGACGAAAGAGTGGCCGCCCCGGCAATCCGGATAATGGCCGGCGAGTGCCATGGGAAATTAAGGGAAGTAGAAGAGTGCCGGAAGGAGCCGCGCGGCGACGGCGCGAAACGCCGATCCCGCGGACTAATTGAATGGAAATGAGACGGCCCGCCTGTCGAGAAAGCAATTTCGGCCGAGGGCTCGCGCGGCCCGCTTGAAAATCAATAGCCGACGGCGCTGCATCTCGTGGTTCTTTCGGTCGTTCGCACCTTCTCGAATCTTCCTCCGCGGAAGGGTTACCGAGGACGCGGGGCTTCCTTAGGTGTTATCGTAATTGATCGAACAGCTGAATTGTAAATCAATTCGAGTTTCGATAGACGCGCTCTTGAAGTTGCTGGGAATTTCGAAGGTTAGCTTAAATGCTCCGTGAGTTCAGTGTTAATTTGGCAACGTGAATAATTCACACGTCTTAAGTATATAGTAGTAAGAACTTAATTAACTCTCTTAGAAATCAACGTAATGTGGATATTTCCTGATGTTTCTAATTAATATTCCTTTCAATTATTCAAACACTACACTCGTCTCTTCGTTTCCCTATATCGGAAAGCCCTGTTACAACTTTTGAATATATAATCACTCCAAGAGTGCGTCTATCGAAACTTCAATTGATTTACAAGTCAGTTGGCATGTTGCTAAATAAATTCGTCGATGAATGCGTCATTCTGAACGTAACCCTCATTCACAACGTAAATCTAGTGTTAATAAAGTCAGGGCTAAAAAGTTAGGATTCTTCGCAATTGCTCTGCATCGTATATTTCCTGCATTCAATGGAATTCGGTTCGCCACGTCGCCAAGAAAATGAATGTTTCAGTTTATGCGAGGAACTGTCATCGGAATTCGGCTGACGCGGCAGTCGAAGGGTTAACATTAGCTGTATAGCTTCTAGCTGTCATTCTTCGATTCCGAAAGATCGTAACGTCCGATTCCGAAGTCACGTAGTTAGCGATAACAGAAAGTATTCTGGAATGTATCATGGTTCTTGATACTTACTCATCCTTTATCTTCTCGTGTTCTCGCTGAGAAGATAGTAGGGAATCTCGCGTGCGATGCGCGTTGGTATAATTCGATTTTTAGAATCTTTGTACTCTAACTTATCAGCGACGGACCGATCTATTCGTGATCGAACGACGAATGCGCTGTTGCAATCGTTTCTACTGAGAACGACATTAACACTAGGCTTACGGAACGCGTCGATTTGATGGAGATTGAATTTTATAAACATTATTTGGCAAATTTGGCAATTACAGGAATATGAATCCTGATTCTCTATTTCTACATCTACGATTTCCAAAATCTAAACGAACGAATATCAACTTCCCCAGGAACAATAGAGTAAACTGTACAATAAATGCCCGTAAACCTAGTGTTAATAACGCCAACGAAAATTGAATAGGGAATAATGCAACGAAGATAGAACGAGAGTAAGAAAGTTTGAAATTTATGTGCCGGAAGGAAACCTTCGCTAGAAGTACGAATATGAGAGTGCGGGGAGGAATGATTGATCGTTGAGATAATTCTCGTAAATCAAGTTCCCACGGATCCGGGAAACACGGATTTTCGGCGAGCAACATGTTTGCCGGACGACGGGGAAGCACAGCTTAAACGAGCTCGGCAGGGTGAAAGCCCTTAATGGTGGTCATTGTATCGTGGCCATGAAACGCTTAAATTCACCCGAAACTTTGGGACGCGATTCTGAACCGTTTACGACGGGCTCGTTAGAACCTTCCTCTACGCGGACCTGACGGAAAGCATTTAACTTCAAGGGCCAGTGTTCGGAACTCTAACGAGCTTGCTTTCCGATAATCATCAAAATTTCAATCTTTAGTATCCAGGGTCATTCAAGTTTCAATTTCATTGAAAAATATCCGCGTTTAACAGATAGCTTCTATGTCGAGACTCGTTCAATGTTTTCAAATCGATAATTATATGCAATTGATAACCTTTGCGTTAATTGTGTTTAGAGTTAGTTTGTATTACCTTATCAGTAACGCGTCTTTTTATCTTGATAACAATACAGGTACAAAGTAGTTACAAAAGTAGCTAATTCGATCATCCGATTAGTAGAATTCTACGGTTCAGTAAGAAATATTTAGAAACTCGATGTTACTAGTTTAGAAAGAACGTTTAGTAATCAAATATCTGAAGCAAGAATCGAATAAGATAATAGAAGCCAAACAACACCCGTGGGATCATAGGATGTTATTCAAAAGAAAAACGAGGAAGTGGTAGGGGTGCAAAGGGTTAACCCTTTGCACTCGAGGGGCGCCCTACAGTCGCCAGCTGATTCGACGCAGCAAACTTATAAAATTTTCAATTCAATATTAAACCTTGCGTAATGTATCAACGCATAAAACATCGAAGTAAAATAGTTTTGTATCTTAATTTATATAAGATAATCAATTGTGTCAGTTGCGAAAAATGTCCTTAATATTTCATGAGAAAGTAATGAATATTTCTGATGAAAAATATTGTCGACTACACGACATTCTTTGAAATGTACAAAACCTTCAAGAGATAAAGATCAGTTGCTTAATCAATAGAAAAAAGGGTAACTACGTGCTCTCTTGCTGTTCGAGTAACTAAATCATTCTTTTGTCGCTTAGTCTTCGGAATATGAAAATTTCATCTCGCTGGAATGCCGAGATTCCTTGAAATGTAGAAAATCTTCAACAGATGAAGCTAAATTATACATCAATTGCACAATTGATAGAACAAAGGGGAACTACGTGCCGATCTCCTGCTATTCGAGTAATTAAATCATTCTTTTGTCACTTAGACTTCGGAATATGAAAATTTCATCTCACCGAAATGCCGAGATTCTTTGAAATGTAGAAAACCTTCAACAAATGAAGCTAAATTATATATTGATCGCTAAAATAATAGCAAAAACAGAAACTACATACTAATGTCTTCCTGTTCGAGTAATTGAATCATTTGTCTGCGACTCAGTCTTCCAAATATGAACATTTCGTCTCGCCGGTATGCCGACGTTCGTCCCCAAAGGGTTAATACTGTGAACGGCGAGTCCTAAATGATTCCGGGTTCCGCGATCGACTGCGTGATCCGTCGTTCGAGGGTCAATCGTCGTCGTCGTCTGGCGGAGCCGTTCCGATTCCGCGGAGGGG